CTGGGTGGTCGGTTCGACTCCTAGTGCGGGAGCCCCGGGGGACACCAGGCCTGTGCTAGGGCCGCAGGTGGAGGATGTGACCTGTTCTTGGTCCTTGGCCAGACTCTAGATTGCTTTGCATTTCTTGCCAGATTGGAGAACTACCATATTTTGTGCTACACTATTTTGGCAACATCCGTCATACACTTGCTGGCTAGTTTTAGTGCGGGGTTTGAAGGCATTTTAAAAAGCGATTTAGCAACATTACAAAATTTGGGATGATTGTAACCTTTCTTTTTAGCTTGCTTTTGATAAACTTAGCTGAAACTCATTTTTTATTAAAGGAAATGAACATTGCGTTGTGCAGTAGCATGTCACTTTTACAATGCACATTTAACATCAGGGGAATAAATGGAACTCGAGAAAATTCTATTAGACTTCTTTTCTGAAGCTACCTGTGATCATTTTCATATCATGGATAGATTTATATGGTTCACAATAAATGGTTTGTAATAGGTATACACGTATATTAAGTTTAATTATTTGAGAAGTCAAGTTATTTTTAGGAAAGGGTACGTCCTAATATTTTTCCTATTAGGATATATGTTGAAACACAGATGGCCATCTCTACACTTGCAGGATGTGAGTTGTTTAAGAGTTTATTAGCTATTATTTCAGTTTAACAATGGAAGAAGAAAAAGTTGGCAATGACATAATTTTATGCCTTTTTTGTTTTCCAAAAAGTGAAAAGCATTCCCATATTATAAATCTTAATGTTTCTAATATCTTACTGTAGATCCAGAGATAGTGTCTTTAATTTAAACTGAGAAAAACAGGCCACAGAGTAGATTTTACAGATGATACATTTGGACCTAAAACTTTAAAAAAAATTTTTTCTTTATTGATTTCAGAGAGGAAGGGAGAGGGGGAGAGAGAAACATCAATGATGAGAGAGAATCATTGTTCGGCTGCCCCCTGATGCCCCCTACTGGGGACCAAGCCCACAACCCAGGCATGTGCCCTTGACCAGAATCGAACCTGGGACCCTTTAGTCCACAGGCCAACGCTCTATCCACTGAGCGGACCTAGAACTTTTTCTTTTAATCCTCACCCGAGGCTGTATTTCTATTGATGAGAGAGAATCAGGGGGAGAGAGAATCAATTGTCCCCTGAACACACCCCAAATGGGGATCGAACCTGTAACCTTCTGGTGTACAGAACAGCGCTCAAGCCAACTGAGCACCGGCCAGGGCTGGGCCTAGGACTTTCTAAAGAGTGTTTTTTAATTTACCCATCATGCCACATTGCAGCTGCTGACAGCTGTTGTTTCTCAGACTATTCATCTTTATAAACAACATTTAAAGACCAATAAGGTCAGAGTGATAAGGGATCTTGTAAAATGAAGGCATCCTCAAACAAAAGTCCACTTCAGTGAGGTTCTTACCTTTGCTTCTCTAGACCAGCGGTTGCCAACTGGTGATCCGCGGACCACTGATCCACAAGGTCCAAAAGGTTGGTGACTGCTGCTAGACAGCCATTTCCTCTGGTATTCTGTGGAACCAAGGAAGTGGGGCCAAAGTTGGAAGGCTCTCTAATGAGTACCTTTCCTCCCTTTCTCATCTATAAGGGTGTATACGTTGCCCAAGAACTTCTGTTGCTCTTTTTTATTAAAAAAAATTTTTTTTTGTCTTTGCTCTTGGTGTCACTCTTCTTTCTTTCAAGTTTCTTTCATTTAACCCTTAATAATGAAGCCTGCACTTATTTATTTTGTTTTGACAGTTCCCCGTGTTCTGAGCAGTCAGCTGGGCATATGACAGTGATAGGCAATGCTGCCAGCTGTCGAGGGGCCCAGCCTCAGGACGGGTCTGTTAGGCTGGTTGGATGGTTTACTTTGTTCCCACCTTCAGACCCACGCCCTTGGTTTCAGTTAAAACTGCTCCTCTCTCAGCCTCCTGTGTCCCAAGACCTCATTCCCTAGAAAATCCTTGTGCTTGCCCTTGGTCTCACAAGAAAGCACCTTGCTCAGTCTGGCTTTGCACAGTTTGAATTCTTAGCCCTTGTAAAACAGAGAACCAGAAGAGAGAGCATGGTAGAGAACTTGTAAAAGCTGGCAGATGTGGGTTCAAAGCATTGCTGTAGATTACTCAGCCTCTCTGAGCTTCCATTTTCTTATTTTTAAGCAGGAACGTTAGTGCGGATGCAGCATATTCATGGCGTATCTACTGTTTGCCAGGCGCTGTTGCTGTGGTGAACAGGGTAGACATGGCTGCTCCCACCCTCAAGGAACTGCAGTGTTTGCAAAGCACCTGCCCTGCTCCACCCTGAGTGATTGCTCATTAAAGGCTAATGCTTCCTCAGTTCCTGTAACACCACTGTGCAGTGTTGTCCAGTTTCTCATCTGGAATCATCTGCCTTTGGGGGATGACACAACCGGACCCCTTCCGGAAAAGCCATACATATGGGCATCATGTACTATTGTTCAATAGTTCAGATGCTCTTGCCAGTTTATAAATTTAGTGACTTTGGGGAGGATTTATTTTTATTTTTTCCCTAGCCACAGAGTTTAGGTTTTCAAGGCATATTTTTGAGACCATGTAATAATGGTGATATATTATTCTGTAATTTAAAGATAGTTTTTAGTTTTTTTCCATGATGATGTATTTTATTAGAACAGTCTGGCATAGTATTTGGCACTTTATGCAGTGATGTTCATATTGCTTTTTCATTTTCACAGGGACCTGGTGTGGCAGATACTGTTACTCCTATTTTAGAGACTGGGAAACTAAGGGCCAAAGAAGTTATTAGGTAACATGCTTGTGGTTAAACTGCTAGTAAGTAGCAAACTCAGGAATTGATCTGGAATGTTTTCTCTTTTCCATGATGCTGTTTTTTTCTATCAGGCAGGCTTGTGGGGGAGGGTGTCTATTAATGCCCTGAGTTGGGGTGGCCTGAAACTGTGAAAGTTGGTGTCCTCCTTTGCACTTCTGTGGGAAATGTTGGTAGCTTCTGCCAGATTCAGAAAGGGCCCTACATTATCCTCTCTGCAACCTCCCTCCAGCAGCTCCCTCCCCCACACTGCTAGTAGGTTTCATTGTCAAAAGTCTAGTTTGGTTAGCTCTAGTCTGAAAATACTGATTGCTTAAAAATACTGATTTATAAATGGGATGTTCATATTTTTTGTTTCCAAAGAAGCTGGCAGAGCCTGAACTTAAAACCCACGTAAAAGCAACTTTCTATTTGATAGAATGTATTTTGCTTTTGCCCTTTGCCCTTTAG